GCGGGGGCGGGGGTACGGGGGACGGGCTGCGAGGGTGGGGCACGTGCGGGGGTCATTTGGAGGGGCCAGGGGTCGGGGATCCCCGCGGCGGGGGTACGGGGATGAAATCCCCACCTCGGCTTGGGCCCCGGGGATCCCCGCGTGACAACACTGGCGTACTCTCATCTGAGTAATTCCGAATATTTGTTGTATTTCATTTTCGGCATTCTTATCGGACACTCATTTGCAGTTTGAAAGTTCAAATTTTTTTTGTGTCCCTCATTCATAATTTCACACTTCGGGGGGAATTGGGAGGCCTACTGAACTTGCAAACGAGTATTTTTCTCCTTTTCTCAAAACTTTTTTTGGGAAGTTCAAACTTTTCTTTTTTTGATTAGTGGCTCCTTATCTGGGTGATTTATCCCACCCACCCCTCCCCACCTCTGTTGCTGCCCCCTCTGGTCTTATCTCTCTCTCTGTCTCCGGGTACCCCCTGTGGCGGCATTGGTAAGTTGCCACGTATGCAGGCCACGTCAGCAGACCACGTCAGCAGCAGGCAGTGCCACGTCAGCAGGCACCTAGCCTGGTCTATGCTCACGCGCTCGCAAACAGCCATCATGGACCAGATGTCCGAGGAAACGGACGAGGCCTATCAGGCCCGGATGCTGCTTCTGATTACCGAAGCCAAGCAACGGTCGGATGCAGTAGCAGCGCAGCAAAGAAGAAGGCGGAGAACACCGAGAAGGCACGTCTGTTGGCAATCGAACAGCAGCGCCAGCAAGACGAGGCAGCAGCAAAGGCTGCCGATGAAGAACGAATTCAACGACGCGAGAAGATATTCAACGGAGAGCGAGCTTTGCTCACAATGGCAGCGGACTGGCGGGCTGAGGCCGAGAATGGGAAGATGGAAGAGAGTGAAAACAAGATTGCTCTACTCTCTCCCATTTGACGGATATCCTGGCCACGTGCATTGCACAGCAGGAGGACATCCACAAGCTCGACGACGCGGTTCAAACGCACAATCAAGTCTTTAACCAAGTCAACAGCCGCCTCCAGCAGCTGGAGCAACGACCCGTCTCCGCCCCCGATGCCAACTCCTCCAACACCTCCGATCGCCTCAATGCATTGGAGATCGAAGTCGAACCCTCAAGGACGACACACAGCTACAACAAACTGCCACGCAACAACTGGAGCAGCGGATCTGTGCTGCCGCCGCCAACCCAAGTTCGGCACCGCGCGAGACGACTCCAAGGTTCGATGCTCAGGAGATCTTCTGCGATTCGACGAAGACGGACCCGATTCCGTGGTTTTGCAAGTTCGAGCTCAAGTTGCAGCTACACCATGTCAGCGAGGACAAACATCACGCATACTTGTACTCCTGATCGGGGGGCGCATGCCAAGCATGGTTGGACAATTTCTTGTCCAAGTACGGAGTGGTAGCTGCCGACTTATACACCAAGATCAGCTGGGATGATCTAAAGGCAGCGTGGCATAAGCGGTTCCAAGTAGAGCCGCCAAAGATCGAGGCAATGGACAAGTTGATGACCTTCGAACAAGGCACGCTGCCGAGTGTTGACTGGATTGCCGAGTACCAACGCTTGACATCCGTCCAGACATTCAAATGGGCTTCAAGGCCGTCAAACACTACTTGATCTCGAGGTCGTGTTCGGCGTTGGGCA